CTTATAAAAAAAAAACAATATTTTAGAGCATCACCCACAACATATTAGTTCCAAAATCCCCAAAGAACATAAAAACAGACAAAAAAAAAAATTAAAATAAGACAAAAACAAAAAAAAAAAACATACAAAAAAAACACTCCCATCTAGGGGGCTCTATGGCCATCACCCATAGTGTTCCCCCCAACCCCAGTGGCTTTTCCCCTCTCATTCCTCTTCTTCAGTTCCTCATCCTGTGACTTCAAAAGTTGAAAGTTCCTCAGGCCCTATCTCTCCTCTATGCTGCCTCCCTGGATGACATTACCTCTTCTCATGAATGGAACACTGTCCTGATGGATGGAATAGTTTGATCTGGCCCAAGGCTCTTGTTGGAATACCAATTTATGTTGTCCCAGAGCATGCAAATTGAATATGTCCTAAGTAGTACCCTCAATAATTGTCCAACATGCCCACTCCCACACCCAGTTACTCAAGACAGAAACCTAAGACTCATCTTTGATTCCTCCTTTCCCTGAAGCCCTACATCCAACCCATCAAGTCTATCCTCTTTTCCCTAAAGAGGTTTACCTTCAAAATACACCTCAACTCCACCCATCTCTCTCCAATGTTCCTGCCACCCACCACTGCATATAGAGCAACTGCCATCACTCAACAACTGTTTTTCTCTTTGTAAAATTTAGATGCAAAAATTTCTGGCTTTATCATATGACTGAATTCATTTTTCCTCTCTCTCTCTCTCTCTCTCTCTCTCTCTTTTTTTACTGATGTCTGATTTATTTCTACCTTTTCTTGTTGCTCTCTTTCTAATTCTTTGAGTTGTAGAGTTAGATGATTTACTACCATTTTTTCTTGCTTTTTGAGATAGGCCTGTAGAGCTATAAACTTCCCTCTCAGGACTGCTTTCATTGCGTCCCATTGGTTTTGGATTGTTGTGTTTTCATTGTCATTAGTTTCCAGAATGCTTTTAATTTCTTCTTTGATCTCATTGGTAACCCAATCAATATTTAATAACATGCTATTCAGCTTCCAAGTGTTTGAGTATTTTGGGTTGTTTTTTTTGTAGTTCATTTCTAATATTATGCCATCGTGATCTGAGAAGATGCTTGGTATGATTTCAATCTTCTTGAATTTGGGTAGACTTTGTTTGTGACCTAATATGTGGTCTATTTTTGAATGTGTCTTATGAGCCCTTGAGTAGAATGTATATTCCGTGGCTTTGGGGTGAAGTGTTCTGAAGATGTCAATTAAGTCCATTTGATCAAGTGAGTCATTTAGGGTTGCTGTTTCTTTGCTGATTGTTTGTCTAGAGGATTTATCCAGTGATGTCAGTGGTGTATTAAAGTCCCCTACTATGATTGTATTGTTGTCGATCTCTCCTTTGATATCTTCCAGGAGTTTTTTTTATGTATTTGGATGCTCCTGCATTGGGTGCATAAATGTTTACCAGGGTTATATCTTCTTGTTGTATTGATCCCTTTAGTATTATGAAGTGGCCTTCCTTATCTCTGGTTATGGCCTTCACTTTGAGGTCTATTTTGTCTGATATAAGTATTGCTACCCCAGCTTTCTTTTCCTTTCCATTTGCCTGGAAGATAATTTTCCATCCCTTCACTTTCAGTCTGTGTGAGTCCCTTTTAATGAGGTGGGTCTCTTGTAGACAGCAGATGTATGGGTCATGATTTTTTATCCATTCAGCCACTCGATGTCTTTTGGTTGGAGCATTTATTCCGTTTACGCTTAAAGTTATTATTGAAAGGTACTTGTTTGTAGCCATTTCTTTTTTTGTGTGTGGCTGTTTTCTTTCTGAGCTTTTTATTCCTTCTTTTTACACCAGTCCCTTTAGCATTTCTTGCATTGCTGGCTTGGTGGTGCTAAACTCCCTTAGACTTTTTTTGTCTGTGAAGCTTCTTATTTCCCCTTCAAATTTGAATGATAGCCTTGCTGGATAGAGTATTCTTGGATTCAGTCCTTTGCTTTGCATCACTTTGTAGATTTCCGTCCATTCTTTTCTGGCCTGATGTGTTTCTGTTGAGAAATCATTTGATAGTCTAATGGGAGATCCCTTGTATGTAACTTTCCGTCTCTCTCTTGTAGCCTTTAAGATTCTCTCTTTTTCCTGAACACTTGCCATGGTAATTATGATGTGTCTTGGTGTGGGTCTTTTCGGGTTCACCTTGTTTGGGACTCTCTGTGCTTGTGTGACTTTTTTCTTCCCCACCTCAGGGAAGTTTTCTGATATTATTTCTTCGAATAAGTTTTCTAATCCTTGTTCCTCTTTCTGTTGTTCTGGCACCCCTATTATTCGTATGTTGTTTCACTTCATGTTGTCCCAAAGCTCCCTTAGGCTCTCCTCCTGTCTTTTAATTTTTTTCTCCAATTGCAGTACAGTTTGGGTGTGTTTTGCTTCCTTGTCTTCTAATTCACTAATTCGGTCCTCCGCTTCTCCTAGTCTACTGTTGATGCTTTCAATGGTGTTTTTTATTGTAGCTATATCGCTCTT